TGGAGAGGTTTTTGCTATAGGGTGTGTGCACTCGCCAGACAGAGAGAGACAGAGAGACAGAAAGCGAGAAATCACCCTTCACGGGAGATGGCCACGCCGTAATCCCTTCTCCTCCATTTTCCTCTCGGGATCTTGGGCACGCACGCACACGCGCCTGGCATGAGTTTTAAGCCACCGGGTCCAGGATGCGAACCGTGGTTGACTACATGGGAGTCCAGCGACATAGCCATTACGCTAACTGCTGGTCCCAAGACAGGTCCTCTTGATCTAAGTCTCTGTTCCCTTACTCAGAAAATAGAATGCCTTTCATTGTAAGAATCAAGAAAATATCTGTAGAGACGCTAAATTTACAACTCTTCTGTAAAGAAAAAGTATTATTATTTGAAAATTATAGGAGGAGAGGAGAGGCTAGGAAAGAACTGCGCCTGCTACGCCAGCTCGGGGCCATGTGGTCTCCCCTAAATTCCCAGTACTGCAGCTCGGGGAGGACTTTCGTCTTGACCTTCCCCTGGGCTTTTCTTTACCCAGAGGGTAAATATCTTCTGAAAAATTCCCTTTCATCTCCCAGGTTTTCCTTTTAGCCTTCTTATAAAAAACAAACAAACAAACCCTTTCCTTGAATCTGTTATTCCCTCGAGCTACCTACCATTCGCCTTTTGCTTTCCTCTTTTTTTTTCCCCCTACTAAAATTGTCAAAAGAGGCACAGGTGAGGCTGGTTGAAGAGAGCAGGTTTCCTGCTGTCGGGCCCAGAGCACGGGCCTGGAGGGGTTCCTCCAGGTAGGGAACTGGGCAGTGTGACTCCCAAGGGCAGCAGGAACTGCCTTCACAGTAAGGCAGGTGCCTCGGCGGGGCCTTCGCAGGTTAATGTCCCGGAATTCATCTGGAGAGTGGGAAGAGGGATAGAGATGCTGCAGGGTGGCTGTGAAGACTGGAATGTATAAAGCCTACCGGAGGAGAGAGCACATAGTGGGTGCTCAATAAATGCTAAGTGTCTTTGCTGCACCCTCTCTTAAACCCGGGCTTTATTGATGGGAATTATTGCTACCCCTCCCTCCACCCTGTCCCCAACAATCTGGGAAGCAGGGCTTACCCCAATCCCCTGTGGGCCAGGAGCCAAGTTCAGTGAAACTGAGCTACGATAGATGTGCTGGGGGTGGAAGGAGAACACAGCGCTGTCCTTATGAGATGCGTGTGTGTGTGCGTGTGCACGCGCGTGCTGGGGAGGCAGGAGACAGGCACATTAGACCAGTCCCCTCAATCCAGTGCAGAAAGCACACCGACAGGAGGAGCACGAAGTCTGTGAGCACCAAGGAGGAGCAGGGTGGCCAGTCCGAGGGGTCAGCCTGGAGGAAATGTCTCCGGAGTCTTATGAAGCACTTGGAGTATGCAGCGGGATGGGGAGGAGTGGGGAGAATAGGAGAGAAGGAATTCTAAGTGCTAAACCTGCCTAGCCAGCTTAGCACATGGGCCTCTCTCAGGGGTGAGAATTCCTAATTCCGAAGAAAACTCACCTGAGAGTTCTGTCCTGACCTCGCCCGTTTGCTTTTCTGTCACTGCTTCAAAGGGTAAATTATCTTTTTGAAAAATGTAGATTCTTTTCTTGTGTTAAAGTTAGAGGGAAAAGCATTCCTCCACAACTAGGGGAGGGGTGTGGCGTCGTCAGGGTGTCCACAGCAGGCCAGATTTGAGAATGCTGAGGGCACAGGTAGGGACCTTGAGGGGACAGTCGGAGACTGGGGCATTTCCCTTCCATGCAGAAAGGCCATCCCTGACCAACTCACCACGCCAATGGAGAAGTAGTTGTTCATGATGCTGTATGGGACCTGGTCTCCGTTCTCCACCTCCTCTCTGGGGATGACTTCCAAGTGCCAGCGGTCCAGCATCACCAAAGGGCTCTGCTCAATGTCCTTGAGGATTTTCGTCAAGCTGCCCCCTTCATAGCCTGTGGAGGAGGGCATCGCATTTGCCACCAGAGCAGAAGGGTTAAGCTGTGGCTGACGCAGAGGTCGCCGTCAGGACATGTAACCCCATGTGTGCTGTGACCAGACTCCCCAGTACATGTATGGGCTGGAACACTTAGAACATGGAGAAGGGACAGCCAAGAGGGAGTACTAGAAAGAGACTGGGGGGACCAGCAGTTAGCATAATGGCTATGTCACTGGACTCTCATGTAGCCGACCGTGGTTCGTGTCCCGGACCCGGTGGCTTAAACTCACACTGGGCGCATGTGTGCGTGCGTGCCCAAGATCCTGAGAGGAGAATGGAGGAGAAGGGATTGCGACGTGGCCATCCCCCCTGGAGGTGATTTCTCGCTTTCTGTCTCTCTC